AAACACAAGTTACAGAAATATAAGGAATGGCTGAAGCTCTCCATTATAAAACCCATTACATATAAAGAGTACACGTTAAGCAGGTGAGGTGGTCTGTGCCTAAGAATGTGGGGTTCCTCATAGCTCCTCACCGTCTGATAGAAATATTGCAGCTTCCTATGCTAAAGGAAGCATAGAGGCTCCTTTTCTCATTCCTTACTGTCAGCATTACTTGGCTTGAAGAAGCATTTGTATAAAATGTCTTCCAAGTTTATTAAAGCATTTATGCGAGGCTCTCTCGCTCCTTCTTATCTAACCAAAAAAATGCCTACTTTGCCATTGTTCTGCTGTGTTTTCTTTTGCGGGTGTAACGTAATCTACAGTGGAGGGGAGTTTCTGTGAGCTCAGCAGCTGACTAACTTTACAAGGACAAATGTCTCGATTCTTGGTAAATATGTCAATCTAGGAGTGTTTGTCCAGTAATCCACTGTCCTTCAATTAGAAAGATGGTAGGAGTACCAACACATTAGCCTGTGTTGATACCAAAGTGATGCTCTCTTTTTTTTGTCCTTTTCTGGAGGCTTAGTGCTGAAAGATGGTTGAGATTCTTTGTTCTTTCCTTTGCATTTTCAATTTTAAACTCTATGCTGAAACTCTAAACTAAGTAACAGCTATAATCCTTTTTACCTTCTCTACTACAGTTATGCTGAGGCATGTATCCTACAAAATGCAAAGTATTTTAATTGCTACGAAAGAGAAGAAAATCTGTAAACATGTAAACACACAGAAGGACAGAGCAGAACGCAGCTGTAAGCTGATGAGCTTGAGGATTTATACATTAAACCATGATTAAGTTGAATTAAGTCAGTATGTCAGCTGCCATGACCGGAACCTAAAAAAACAGATTATGAATGAGCTCTTTAAACAAAAGGTGTCATCTGATGATACTTTTTTATTTCAGACAGACATCTCACCAACAAAATAATAAAAGTACGAATAACAGTTACCGTACACATTCTAACAACTGCTCCAGTTCTGAACAGCATTTTTACACTGATTTTACACTGATGATATTTATCAGCAGATTCTTCACAACTGCTTTATCTGAGTCATGCAGTGACTCTGTAAGTCCTCACTTTTCTCCCCATAATCAGAATAAAGTTCACTACAATGCTGCAACATTTAAATCGTTGTTTTCTCCACCTTTTGTTTGATCCTAAAAAGACAAATCAAGGGTGTCTGAAAGGGAACCTAAATACTGATATCCTAGATAGCAAAGGATGTTCATTTAATGTCAAATTACGGTTAAAAACGACTGACGGTGGATCAACTATCGAACAATCATCCTGTTATATTTAATCAAACAATGTTGAAATGACTCAACTGAATCAATCTTGTTTTATCATCAAATTTCAGTAAAATCCCAGCATCTAATCAACATTGAATCATATCATGTTGTTTGTCGCAACCACTTCCGCCTTTCAACACTGGCTGTTGGCTTTTTCGCAACCAGATTCTGCGTTTCACCCCAGCTGGTACTGTGCACCCCCTTCACTGGTTACCTAACCATATTTTAGCGTTGATTCACTCATAGTTTGCCGATCAGACTTTAGCTGCCAATATCGCCATTAATTTAGCTCAGACACAGATTAAAAAAAATATTCTTAACACCCAGTAGGATTATTTGGATAAAGGGCTAATAAAACGCCCTGTAAATGTTTTATACAGTAGGGGTTCACATAAAAAAGCAAAACCTCCTTTCAGAGAAAGCAGCGTCTTACCCGATAAACATTATGCTCGCAAACAACAGCTGCAGTTGCAATTGTCTGTTTTATTTTACACACTGTTTGAGCCATATGTCCGAACAATGCTGTAACTGGTGTTCTGTCTTATTGTAGACATATATTATCCCTGCTAAGGTCATGTAGGGCTGATGCCTCACCAACTGGTCAATAAGCACGACGCAGGGTACTTCTGGACAGTGATAGCAATGGAAGAAGGTCATGTGGTCTGATGAGTCCAGGTTTACCCTGTTCCAGAGTGATGGGCGAATCAGGGTAAGAAGAGAGGCAGGTGAAGTGATGCACCCACCATGCCTAGTGCCTACTGTACAAGCCTGTGGGGGCGGGGTTATGATCTGGGGTTGCTGCAGTTGGTCAGGTTTAGGTTCAGCAACAGTATGTGCTCAAAGAATGAGGTCAACCGACTACCTGAATATACTGAATGACCAGGTTATTCCATCAATCGAATTTTACTTCTCTGATGGCACAGGCATATTCCAAGATGACAATGCCAGGATTCATCGGGCTCAAATTGTGAATGATTGGTTCAGGGAGCATGACACATCATTTTCACACATGGATTGGCCACCACAGAGTCCAGACCTCAACCCCATTGAGAATCTTTGGGATGTGCTAGCGAGGGCTTTGCGCAGCGGTCAGACTCTACCATTATCAATGTAAGATCTTGGTGAAAAATTAATGCAACACTGGATGGAAATAAATCTTTTGACATTGCAAGAGCTTATAGAAACAATGCCACAGCGAATGCCGTAATCAAACGTAAAGGCGGTCCAACAAAGTATTAGACCTTTTTGACCTTTTTTTTTTTTTGGTGGCGACTTTTTTTTTGGCCAGGCAGTGTATTTTAGCTAATAAATGACTAATTCCATTAGGAAAACAGTCTGTATTCTTTTGTATCTAGTGAACCTGCTGTAGATCCAGGTGACACATTGTTCTCCGTATAAAGAGCTTATATCATACTTTTAATATAGCCATTAAGCCCTTTAGATGGACATTTTAAATTTATTCTCTTCCTTAAAAACAATGGTAAAACAAATGCAGATTATGGTGTATTTAAAGGTTTTATGGCATTTTAGAGTATTTAATTTTTTCCTTTAAGAGTTGTGAAGCTAAATTTCATACAGCAGGCTAAGGCCCCGTCCACGCGAAGTCAAAACGAACACGAAACGCTGATATTTTCCAAAACGTTTGCCGTAAAGACGGAGACGTAAAATAAATGTGAGCGTCCACACGAATGCATGAAAACGCTGCAAAATGTATGCCAGGCCTGTAAGTGGCGCTGTGGTGCCAAAGCAAAAATAAGCGACGAAATGTTGGGCATGCGCACTAATATTTATACATGGTTGCCCTGCGGGTCCATTTTCGTGGTTCAGTCAAATTCAGGTGCTGAACTATGTCGTCAATATTGCTCTGTTCTTCCTGGAGATATTCCAGAAGAAGAAGATTCTGTTGTAAGCCTGACAGCAGGGTGAGTAGCATTAGCAGCAACGGCGCCATTGTTGTTGTGATACTGTGTCGCGCATGCGTGTTTAGAGGCGACACTATGACGCATGCGTGTAAAAAAAAAAATGCGGTTAGAGCGTAAAGATGGAAACGCGAAAACGGCATTTCGAAATCTTCCCACTCTGAAGGCTGAATAAAAAAAAGATAGTTTACAGACCCCCGAAACGCCGGCTTCGTGTGGATGAGAGGCTGGTTTGGTGAAAAATTTGTGCGTTTAGGCCAGGGTTCGTCTTCGTGTGGACGGGGCCTAAGCTGACCTTCCAGCTCAGTTCTATAAAGTTACCGTGGCTCTGTGTGACTCAGGCAGACAGAGACGCTCCCCCACCTCCCATCACCTCCTCTGTAGCCTCATTAGGGAGCACAGAGACTTGTCTTGCAGTAAAGTTACACACTCACCTCCCACTCAGCGGGACAGGAGCACAAACTTCCTTCAGACACACACATCTGCACCACAGGAGCAACAGGAAGCTCTGATGACCAATAACAGCTTTTAGGGACAATACCATTCCTTTAAAAAGGAGATTTGTTTGTTCTTTCATTCAACAGTTTGTTTTTATCTATATATAATCGTATATATCTCTCTATTGTTGCTATTTGTAATCAAAAGGGAGGACAAGAAGGACTAAACTTTGATTTCAGGCCTTTTGTCTGTTTTTATCATATAGGTGTACATAGAATGAAGGCTCTTTTTACCCAGCAAAATATAAACCTTTCAGACGACGTATGAAGTTTGGACGATTCATTATAAGTGCAAAAAAGAGACTTTTTAGTTGGTTTTTAGACTAAGTCGCGTAATAAAAAGGCTATTTGTAGGGATATAAAAATGTAAGAAAGTCACATTCCCGGTTTTCTCACTTAGTATACCCTTTAAAATAAATAACATTAGCTCAATATAAAAGGTCATATAAAAAAAAACAATGTTTTTGCTGACCTTCTTTCAATATTTTACTATCTTCTCATGAGAAATGCAGCAAAAGTTATTTGTTGTTGCTTGTTCTTTCATTTTATACGTTTCATGGATTAGAAATGTGATATTGTCACGTTAACTTTTGAGCCCATTGTTGATCAATATAAAAAAAAGAAATAGGAAGTACAATAAAGGCAGGCATGAGTAAAATATGTTAAAAAAGGTGAGAAAAGAACAGGAGAAGAGGCAGAAAAATCCTGAGCCTACCGTCTGTTCTCGTTCTGTTAAAGTCGGAGCTTTGCTGCATCAGCGCAGAGGCAGCAGGAGAACATGTGAACATGTAGACTAGAGTGAAAAGCGGTATTATTTCCCCTCCTCTCTCTCTCTCTCTCTGTATTTCTGACGCCCTAAGTCTGCTCTGCAGAGCTCTCACTTCTGCTTTGCTTGTCAAATCCCTGCAGGATGTCTCTGTGCATCTGTGTGTGTGGGTGTGCATTTCTGTGTGTGTGTTAACATAAAACCGCTTCCTGTGCTGTGAAACTGAAACAGAGCATTGGGAGGAGCTAAATGTAAGACTTCCTTACACTGAGGTATAAGAAGTTATCGAAAACAGAGATAGTTATGAACTTAAAATAGGCAATGTCTAAAAATATGCATGCACAGCCTGTTTTTTTTGTTGTTTTTTTTCATGGGCATTAACTATCAACCATATTCATTAAAAAGTCTGAGGATTTCTGGTGATGACGTTAAAGGAAATGGAGTATCCTCTGATGGGGCGGTTTGTTCACACAACGCTGTGAGTGACTGACCTTCTCTGAATCTAGATCAATGGAGCGTGGTCTGAGCTTGATGGGCTGGTCTTTAAAGATGTTACCGAACCCAATCCCCTGGACCTGGAAGGAAAGTGTAACAAATTAAACTGGTTTTGCTTTTAAAACAGCCAAAAAAAAAAAAAGAAGAAAAGAAATTGGCAACCGGTCACAATTAAGAGGTATAACATAGAGGTATAACATAGAAGGATATTTCTACCCTAGTAAAACATGTCTGTCATTTTAGAAAGTTCAAGTGCCCTGAAAACCCTAAGACATCATATGCTTGGCCTACTCCCGCCTGACCGAATTCTGAGCCTAATGACTGGGAAACCTCTTTAAATCCATTCGGATGAATCTTGGGATCCCTCAGGGTCGTGTGCTCAGCCCACTGCTCTTCAAATGGACAGATGTACAGTGTACAGAGACTATACAAAACAGCCTGGTGCCCTGACCAGCTCAGATCTCTTAGCATCAGCGGCTTTAAACCAAAGACAGAAGTTATCCGTGAGAGTTCGAATAGCATAACTGGCAGCAAGAACATCAAAGGGATCACGAAACAGGCCACATGCGACACTTCTGTGGAACTTGAAACTAACAGCAGCGTCACAACATTCAGAAAGACTAAACATGTCATAAACCTTAAGCTTCAATGTGGCGCACAAAGAGCGTCCTGCATACGATGGTGAGGGGAACCAAACGGGTAGATCAAGTATCCCTAATCATCAAGAATCTGTTTCGAAGCAAAATGCTGAACGTTGACAGACTCTTTAGCGTTCTCTGTACATTTTACAGGGTAAATACATCCAAATTATTTTTTACCCCTAATTTCTTAGGTGTATAGCACCTTATCACCAAATATACTCCTTGTAGATGTAAAACACTAAATGGCAATATAGCAGATGGAACCCACTGACTTCACTTTCCTTTTCCACCACTGTACCAATCAGACTTCAGTCGAATGACTAATCTGTCATCATTCCAAGAGGAAAGTTTTTAACGTCAGATATTTTAGATGAAAAATGACTATAGATGTATTCAACATGCAAAAATAAGCGACTGATTACCTTCTTAGGTTGGACTTCTGACCCTGATTCTGACCGACTGTCTCCTCCATCACTTTCACTGCCAGGGCTGTCTTTGCCTGGAGACATACAGAAAAACAAAGCAATTCCAAACCAATTCATACAGCAAAGCCTGGCGCAGAATGCATGTTTTTCTTTAACATACTAGTGCGGTTTTGGCGAGTCTCCTCCGATGAGTTAGGAGTTTCCAGGCAGGGAGCGTCCGAATCAGCCAGGATCTCTTTGGTAAAATTGGAGGGAAACATACCAATCTTCCCATTAAGAAGTCCTTCCCACCATCCCTCCTCAACCTAAGCACATGATAAAGCAGATTAAAAACACTGTGAGAAGTTTGAAACTATCAAATCAAAACAGAAACTTGACATCAAGAGATAAACAACACTTTACAATTAACTTGTTTCACTTTTCTCAAAACGAAGGATTCCACAACAAAAAGGACATTTTAAAAGATAAAGTTAAAAAAAGAAATGTTACATACCGGTAGTTTGTTTTTCCTTATTTACTCTAATAAGCCCAACATTAAAATTTGAATATACATCATACTTTGGTGACTCTCTAACTAAAACTACTTCTTGTCTTGTTGCGTTTAATGGCAGTTGGAAAACAACTTTTCAGTGTGCATCAGCGCCACCACCTGGTGAGAAGTGTGGATCAGAATGGCCCTATTCATAAAGATATTCATATTTATTTATCTATATATCCATAATATTACTTACTATATTACAAATACGAAATCCTCCTAAATATTCATGTTATTATTATATATTTAAATAAATATTGATCATGTTTTTTACTTTTTCTGCACAATATCTAACGCATCAAATTTAACTTTCTCCTTATTTAGGTCTCTAACCTAATTCTTTCTTCTTCATACCTATTACAATACATCACTACATGTTCTACTGTTTCGTCTTGTCCACAATATTCACATGTTCCTGACATGTTTCCTTATTTTGAATAATGTATTATTTAATCCTGTACGTCCAAAGCTAAGTCTTGAAATAACTGTTTCCTCTCCTCTTCTTCCTTCTGCTATCCTAATTTTTCTGACTTTATATTGAATCCTATAAAACCATTTTCCTCTCCTTTCCACTTCCCATTGTTTTTGCCATCTTTTCTTCATCCTTTGTTTAATGATACTTTTAATTTCTGTCTTACTTAAGTTAATCATCATATCAGTGGTTTTATTTTGTGATGCTTCCTTAGCAATCTTATCTGGAATTTCATTTCCTTTAATCCCTATATGTGCTGGCATCCAAATAAATATAACACTACTACCCATTATTTGAACTTGACATGAAACTTTCTGTATTTCAATTAAAATGTCTACTTTCTGAAAAATTATTTTGTACACTGATTAAAGCTGAACTTGAACCTGAACATATAATTGATCTTAATGGTCTCACTTCGTCTATCTATTGTAATGATAAAATTATTGCTAATAATTCACCTGTATATACTGATAATTCATTATTTATTCTCCTATTTACTTTGATATTGAAATCTGGAACATAAAATGCAATACCTACTCAAACTTTTAGATGCATCAGAATATATTTGAATATAACCATGACAACTATTAACATATTCATGTATCAGTTAATGTTTAATATTGCCTTCCTTTTTCTTTTCTACCCATATCAAATCAACTGTAGTATCAGGTATCATCCAGGGAGGGATTACTGGTAATGGTACAGTTGGACTACATTTAATTTGATCTAATTTAAGTTCTTTTAGTTTTTTTTCTCCCCACTATCGATCCAAAACTTTCTGTTTGTCTCCTCTCACTTTCCAAATACTGCTCTAAAACAATTTCTCTTAACAATGTTGACATTTGAAAACAACGATGGCAATGCAAGGGGAAGGTTGTGAGTTAAATCAGGTGTGAGGAGTTAAGTTTAGTTTACTTGTTTGCACAGTGGGGAAAAAAAAAAGAACAGTAAAACAGAGGCAGCTGAGGACATCTAGAGGTCATGGTAAGAACTACAAGATGCAGACAGAACCCTGCAACACATTTACAACAATAATACAATAAATTGCCCTAAAGGACCCTAAAAAAGCTGTTTATTTTTATGGTTTCTTTATGTTTTATAATGAAATAACTGAATTTAAAAATAAAGATCTGACTTTAAGTTAGGAAAAAAGAAAGTGTTCAAACTTTATTCACATATATAATGACAGAAGTACCCTTTTTACCCCTATGATTAAAAATATTTCTTAAGATTTTTACCCCCAGGTTAATAAAAGACAGTGTGGGGCCACACAGGCTGCAATCCCACTTTACAAAACCTATCCATTCCTCTGACAAATTTAAATGTAAATGCCATTTACTTGATAGAGATTGATCCATTTCTAGGACCCAAACACCTCATACTACATTCAGCCATTCATCCAATGCCACACATAGTCACATACCAATGGTGGTAGGCTGGAAAAAAAACAGCAAAAATGTTGTTTCTGATAGGAAATGAAACAATAAATTTGAAAAGTAAAATAAGTTCTAGTTAAGTGAAAAAGGAATCTTTTCTAATTAAAAACTGGTGGAAATATTTATTAACATTACAGGAATCAAAGTGTTTCCTCTTTTGACAATTCCTGTTTGGTAAATGAGCTCTTAGTCATTGAGGTTGGAAGGTCTTCTTGCAATCACCCTAATCTTTAGCTCCCTACGCGATTTAGGTCAATATTCTAGTAAGGGCCACTTCAAAATGTTTACTCCAACACAAAGTGGTGGATCTTTGACTATTTCTATGTCATTAATTTTGCCAAAAAGTTTTCAATAAAATATACTGTACTGAAATTGCCAGAAAAGTCTGACTTTGTGTCCAAAAAATCTGCTCTGTCCTGATTTTGCAATATGTTTTGCATTATGATGCTGCTGAAATATCAAATTTTCACCTGTTTTCAGTTGTATTTAAGGAAATACAAAAAATTTTTGAGGGAGTTCCTTTGATACTATAGGTATCGGGTCGGTATTGATCGGTATCGGATTGTTATCACTAAAACTAATAATTCAAAAAATTCAAATCGGCTCAGGAACCAAAAAACTGGGATCAGGTCATCCCTTCTCGGGATGAGCTTTCATGTTACACGCTGGGAACAGATTTGATTTTAAACTTTTGTTGACACTCTAAGGTGTGAATTATAAGAACTTTAATAAAAGCTAATTTTTTAAGGCCTTTAATAGTGCTCCCTTAGATATATGTTTTATATGTATGAAATGTAGAGTCTAGAGTTGTTTTGTGGATTTTAAAAGAAATGTAAAAAAAGAGCCTCACCTCTGCAATGATTTCAATGACATCTCCTACTTTCAACTCCAGTTCGTCTTCATGCTGCGGTGCATAGCTGAAGGAGGCCTTACATCTTCGCTTGCGGATTTGCTCTCCTGTACCGTATACAATATTAGACAAATCAGCCTCAATTAATGATGTCCTTGTCAAATCTTGACACTATATCTCCATCTTCTCTGTCCAAACATTACTGACTCACACATACTTCTACTAAGCCTCGCAGTTGTTTGGCCCAAACCCATTAGCCACATTAGGGCTCTTAAATCATCTCACATCAGCCAGGGCATTTAGACATGACACTGCAGTTCCTCTTTTCCTCCACATGGTGTCCCTGCAGTTTGCTTTCAGTCAATGTGAGACACATCAGCAGGGATATGAGAAAATGTGTTTATATCACCATATGCAATCATGCAAAAAATATATAATAGACCACCCAATTTTTCTTTAGTTTTTGCTAATTTCAATGTTTGGAACACCTAAAGGTACTTTGCATTTATGAAATATAATCACTACAACAAAGACAGGTACTAAGAGTGTAATGTAAGATGGATGGATGGATGGATGGATGGATGGATGGACGGACGGACGGACGGACGGACGGACGGACGGACGGACGGACGGACGGATGGATGGATGGATCTGCCCGTTTTCCATTTTTTCATGACACCGAGCACATTAAAACAGTGCCAGTTGCAGTGTTCTACCAAAAACAGCTTTTAGACATAATCTATGTTTTAATTTTTGTCTGTTTTAGTCACATGAGACACACAGGAATAAACAGATTGTAATTTATTATATAAACAGTTTTTTATGAACAAAGTGGTCTGACAATTTTTTTTTTTTCATGACTGCGTATCATTTCATTGCTGGCAGGTTCAGCATTTATAATTATGTAGCTTATGAATGAATATATATATATATATATATATATATATATATATATATATATATATATGTGTGTGTGTATACACGCATTTTCATTGCTCTCTCAGACTGACTTAAAAGAAAACCTTCAGGTGCTGTAAATTATCATTTGTTTACATCTATAAACGTGTTCCTTAATAAACCATCAGCTCATCAGTCTTAGCTGTGGTTTTACACCTTTCAAAGGTTGTTTATACATGCTGACGTCTTTCTTCGCATCAGCTTTCTGTGCTTTGCTGCAGATTTTCTTGATTAAAGTCACACACCCTATGGTACGATAGATTTGTTTCCAAAACGCACAATTTTTTTTACAATTTCTGAGGTTACTATGATTTAAGGATGGATGGATGGATGGATGGATGGATGGATGGACGGACGGACGGACGGACGGACGGATGGATGGATGGATGGACAATATAGAAGTATTGGTGTTGTCTTTTTTTTTTTTCTAATACAGTAAATCTAATTTTTCTGTTGGCTTTTCTTCTCCATTTTAAACCAATTTCTTATATTTTCCATTAAATTATATTTTCCATTAAGTCTCTTCCAGGTTTAGTTCACCGGCTTTAGGAAGTCATTGATCATCATTCAAACCAAACCAAAGATTCCACATCATTTAAAGAGGCCCCCGGCCTTTATCTATTTCAACCTAACCTGGTGTTTGCATTTTGCAGTATCTACATATCAGCAGCAGAGTGGTGAGCAATCCTTGACCCAAATCCTTCAACAGACTAATAGGATCTAAGTGTGAGCCTGCAGACATCAGGTTATCTAATGATGGCGGTGTATAAACATACGAGTCGACATGTGTGACAGAGCTGCGCACCTTTCTTTCCAGGTCGCACGTTAGTATCCGACACGGGGCTGGCCCTGCCGTTGGAGAGCTCCGACCTAATCATCCCAGACTGTCCTCCATCTCTCTTCCCGTCCTTCTTTATCTCCTGTATAGGAAGACAGAGGAGACAGGAAGGAATGAGGCAAAAAAACAAAACATAATGGAGGAAAGAGTAAAAGCTCCAACATTTAGTGAAGGAGGGGGGTTTCTAAACAGCAGCTTATTAATGCATGGAAGCTACCATCAAAACTGCAGCTTTTTTTCTCTGTATAAGGAATCACAAGACAGCACGAGAACCGGATTAAAGAGCCCAGAGAAAGGCAAGCGTCCAAACACTGTGACAAGACAAAACGTTAAAAGGGGTAGACATAGAAACCTTCAACAGAGACTAGAAGGAAAAATAGACACGATGGTTCACATCTTCCCACCACATTCATCATGACACTGTTTCATAAGCGCTGGCCTGTGGCGAGCGCAGCTCAGCGAAGCAGACGGGAGCGGGTACGCTGACTCACCCCGAGTGCACACACCGGGTTGTGAATCTCATGGTGAGGCATTAAAGCCCTAATGAGCAGATCCAAAAATATTTACATGACAAAACATCTTTCTTCAACAACATAAGGGGGAGTTTATTTTTATTTTCTTTTTTTTTTATGTGTAAGCTGGATCTTTCTTTTTTCTTTTTTTTTTGTCTAACTACAAACAGAATAATTTGCAGTCTGCAGACAGTAGATTCAAGCTTCCCACAGTGAAGGCGCCAATTAAAATCTGACATATGGCTGATGCGCTCCTCTTCCAGCAGGAAGTAGAAGATTAAAAAGTAAGGGGCTGAAGAAAATCCCAAGTTGGGCTAATCAATAAAACTTCTATTTTTTTTTTTTTAGCTGAAATAATGCTGAAAGATTCTAAGTAATATTTATCAAGTTGATAACAATTAGCCTGAAATCTGCTAGTAAATATGAAGTCAACTTTTTTCTTCTAAAACTTATATTACATAAAAAACGAAACTAACATTCTTTATCTGCTCTGTGAATCAAGCTACATTTGATCAAAACAACTTCTAGTTGTTTCAGTTCTCTTAATGTCTTAAATTAAACCAAATTAAAACTAAATGTATTTAATATCTGCATGCAAATAATTTGAATTCATATATTTTAGTTTGATATCCTCCAACTTGCTCCTAAAAGATTGCAAAAATGATCACTGTGCATCGCATTGGTTGAGCGTGTATCTAATAATTAATCACTAAATGAAATAGTTTTTAGGATCTGCTTCCATGCATCTGACCTCAAGCTGAGGAACATGTGGTTCAGTAGCTGGTGATTCAGTTCAGTAAACATTCAACAGAAGGATGACCGCACTGCCTCAACATTTTACCGTGACCGCATGCTCTCTGGGAAAATATAAAAGGTCTTTTTTTTTTTCTTTAGTTGCACAGTAACCGAGATGTGAGACAAGACTGCGAAATGTCAGGAAGTAATCCTTGGTCACACAAGTCAGATTAAAATGGTGGCTTTGCATCACATTAGAGCTTGTTAAGTAGGCTAATGCAAGAGTGAATCAATGTATGGTTGTGCAGGCAGACGGCAGAGAGGCCAGCTTTGCCTTTCTGCTCACAGCAGCCAAACGTTATTTCAAAAACTTTACACACACAGACACAAACCCACAGACGGACAGCTGAAAATAACTCTGTCTCGGGCAGGAGAAACACCGGGCTGCCCACGCCATCACACAGCAGCCATTTGTTAGTCTACGGCTTCCTCTATTTTATGAGCGGATATGCGAGAGGCAGTGTTTACATGGGATTTTTCTTCTTCAGAAGCAAATGGATGTAAAAAGAGGATGAAATCAAAGTGCTCATGTTTAGGTAAATAATGTATTTTGTGAGTCGGGAAGAGACCAACATCTAGATGCACTGCACTTAGAAGCCACTGAGGCACATTCCTCCATAGCTGCCATTCCTGCTGCAGGGATATGGAGGTGGTCGTGTGTAAAAGGAAACCCAGCAGAAAACAGGAGAGGAAGAGAATGTGATTCACCATATCTGAACAGGAAACACCTGCATTATGTACACTGTTGTGTTAGGGTCACTTTGTGTGTGTTTGTTTGTATCTTTGAAAGCCTAATAGAAATGATGGTAAAGCACGTCAGCACTGCAAAACAGGACTTCAAAACATTGAATTGTCCAGGATTTACAGTAATACTCTCCACACAAAAACAAGGTCTGGAGGGTTGAATAAAGGGAAAAAGTATTTTCCCTGCTATACATTATTGTTAGGTCACCTGCCTAATTCTAAAAACAGACCAAAATGTCTTAATTAATTAGAGAATACTTTTTTTAGATGTTATTTATTGAGGAAAAAAAATATATATATATATCCAAAACAACCCCCCATATATGAAAATATCAGCCGCCTTTGTGTCCTTCTGTTTTTGTTTGTTTATTATTGTTTAAGACCTGATCTTCAGAAGGTTTGCGTGTTTTAAAACACATGCAAATGTACTACTTGGCGCAGAGTAGATCTTCAAAGAGGGTGGAAAGTGATTTGCATTTGCAATTTAGCAGACAGCATATGCAAACTTTTTTATGTACATTTGGCTTCATCAATAAGCAGATCATATACTAATGAGTAGAGATGCACCGATCCATTGTTTTCTGATCCAATCCGATACCTGGGCCGAGTGTATCGGCTGATATTAGATACCAATCTGATTCAACTGTAGATTGGAGGAACCATATATCTTTAGCCTTGTTATAAACATAAAAAAAAAAGTTACACATTCACATAGATATAAATTTAATTTATATTATTTATTAACAAATGAACAGCAACAGAAAGAAATAACAATTCCATGTAAAGTGTACTGGATTGAATCTCATATGAGATTGATTTCCAATACAGCTAATTAGTCGATATCAGAGCCGATATCTGATCCAGGTGTCTGATCGGTGCATCTTTACTAATGAATAATGTAAATGTAAATATTAACTAAAAGCAAAGTGTTTTTTCAAATCGAAAACTAAACTGCTGCCACAAATTTTGCATCTGCTGATTCTAATGGGTGGAGCCATATCAGTTCTCATGTCTTGACATTTTGCAAAACACACCCACTTACTGCGAGCACTGAAAAATAACTGCATTTGCTATTTAGTGCCATTTATTGCAATCTAAAAAGATCAGGCCCTTCATTGCTGAGTTGAAACAACTTTTTTCTTTTCAGTGAGCCCCAGGGCAGCTGTGGCTAAAATGTAGCTTGCCACCATCAGTGTGTGAGTGTGTGTGTGAATGAATGTAGTGTAAAGCGCTTTGGTCAAGTCTACTGACTTGAATAAAGGCGCTATATAAGTACATGCCATTTACCATTCTTTATTTTTTCTTCTGATGCCACTCATTAGTCCTCCCAGGAGTTGAAGTTCTGTCAGTTTTATCACCTCTTAGCCAGATTCTCTCCCCTCTGGTTTTTTCCATTGTCCTTAATTTGTTCTTCATTTCTATTTTTTTTACTATTTATAGACATGACCTTTGTAAGTTGTGGTTTATATGATAAATGCACTATTATCAAACCCTACAAAGGAACGTAATAAAATGTATGAACAGGATCTCACTAATTTGCTAAATGTATATCTATTGGATGGAATTATTTCAAATCAAAATCAACAACAGCAACAATACAATTATATTCTTTTTTTTATTTTGTAACACAGATTTAATGAGCAATGCACTGACAAAAAGTGAATTTCTATCAATTAAATCACAATAATAATCTGATTTAAAATGTTTCCCCTTTTCTTTCATAAAAAATAGGATTCTAACTTGTATTTTCTATATAAACATATCTTAAAACAATCTATGATGTTGTGCTTGTTTGGCAACAACAGGTGCTACTTCTGCATAACCTTTTAGAGTCAGCGCTACCTGACTTTATTTTTAGGGTGAGTTTAAAAAAAAACATGGAAAATTACAGAAGGTCTGACATTAAATATAATTCATAAAATGTTTTCACCTCCTGCTCTTTCTGCTGTCATTTAAAGTTGTTCAAAAAGCATTTTTGAACCCAAGACAGATATCAACACCAACAGGAAGATATGTGATGATTGAAAAAGTATGACATCTATTTACGGCTGCACATGGAAAGCAGATAAGTCTGTGGCTTTTTTTTGTTTTTTGCTACGACCACAAGCAGCATAAGGCTTGTGTTGAAGAGTTTAAAGTACGCAACATTAAAAAACTGACAACACGCTCTGCAACTACAGTCATTTCCTGGAATAATTTGTGCAAAATTAAGGACTAGAGGTTACTTCATTCACTGTAAAAAGAAAGAGATTCTTTGTGACTTTAAAGTTTTGGGTTTTTATTACCTATAATCCATAGTGAAAAAAAATAATAAAATCTCTATATAAATCTAAATAAGGAGCATCACATTTCTTATGAAAAAAAGTACATGCAAATAGTGAACGTGTTGCATGTGATCTAGAAATAATGGATAATAGTTTCAAAAGTGGTCAGATTGAGCTAACTGAATGAGAAAACTGCATGCGCTTCAGGCAGTTAAAGCAGAGAGGCAATTAAAGAAAAATGTTCCAAGTTATTGTGTTAGCTATTGTGTTAGAGATAATAATGATGATAATAACCAAGAAGAAGTATAATAATAACAACATAAATTAAAAAATGTATATTACTAATGATGTACTTTACACATATGTAGCATAAAGTACTACAAAACAATGGAAGAAAAAATAAAACTTAACGATTAAATATAAATCATTAAACCTGGAAAGGAAGTTTTAAAGCAGCCGTCAGACCTACAGAAAAATGAAGCTTTAAACGGCTTTATTTACCTACTCCGACTTCTTACAACCTCCTGCTGACAAAAAGACATTGCAATGCAAGGAAGCCCATAATATACCAGAGCTACATACAGAGACAGTAATGTCATCGTGGAACATCGTGGAATAATTTTTGGTAACGCTTTCTTTTACAGTACATCAATAACCATGTAATAACCTGGTAATGACATAGCAAGTTACACTATATTACTAGGTAACAAGAAAAAACTTTACGGAGAATCTTAAAAATTGCTGTTCTTCAAATTTTAGGCGAACAA